AGCCACATATGTCGGGGAATGTTGTACGTATAGCCACATATGTCGGGGAATGTTGTACCTATAGCCACATATGTCGGGGAATGTTGTACGTATAGCCACATATGTCGGGAATGTTGTACGTATAGCCACATATGTCGGGGAATGTTGTACGTATAGCCACATATGTCGGGGAATGTTGTACCTATAGCCACATATGTCGGGGAATGTTGTACGTATAGCCACATATGTCGGGAATGTTGTACGTATAGCCACATATGTCGGGGAATGTTGTACGTATAGCCACATATGTCGGGGAATGTTGTACGTATAGCCACATATGTCGGGGAATGTTGTACCTATAGCCACATATGTCGGGGAATGTTGTACGTATAGCCACATATGTCGGGGAATGTTGTACCTATAGCCACATATGTCGGGGAATGTTGTACGTATAGCCACATATGTCTGGGAATGGAGGAGAGCCTGACTGGACTGCGTGGGGACCCGCCTTGTTTTGGCTGCTGTGTCTGCCCTTGTATGTCACGTCTCTCATTAAATCAACATTGTTGTTATCAAATGGTGTCTTGTGTCAGTCGTGTGTCAGACAGAGTCATGTGTCAATCATGTGTCAGACAGAGTCGTGTGTCAGACAGAGTCGTGTGTCAGTCGTGTGTCAGACAAAGTCGTGTGTCAGTCATGTGTCAGACACAGTCGTGTGTAATGTGTGGAGCAATGCTCTCACGGTATATTGAGACAAATCTACATTAGTTCACAAGGCGGCTACATCAGACATGTGGCGGGTGGCGAAGTAAAGGCGAGAATACTATGTATATTTATTTATATATATCGAGAGGCGTTCCTTTTTGTCCATTAGCAAAACCTGAGAAATTACAATACACGTAACCCCATTGTAAATGCAAGAGCTGCAGAGCTGGCCGACCAGAGAAAGCTGCGTCTCCTTCCACGTGACAACAGGAGGAAAGTCACAAGTAGACCACGGTGGGGAAGGGGGAGGGGGGGTGGGAGGGGGAGGGGGGGTGGGAGGGGGCGAGGTGGGGGGGGGTGGGGGTGGGTTGACTTGACAATTTGTTGTTAGAATAGAACGCACAATCTCAGTTTTATTGACATCATTTGCTGCGAGTTGCTCCATGTCTCTCTCTATGGTCTCTATGTCTCTCTCTATGGTCTCTATGTCTCTCTCTATGGTCTCTATGTCTCTCTATGGTCTCTATGTCTCTCTCTATGGTCTTTATGTCTCTCTCTATGGTCTCTATGTCTCTCTATGGTCTCTATGTCTCTCTATGGTCTCTATGTCTCTCTCTATGGTCTCTATGTCTCTCTCTATGGTCTCTATGTCTCTCTCTATGGTCTCTATGTCTCTCTATGGTCTCTATGTCTCTCTCTATGGTCTCTATGTCTCTCTCTATGGTCTCTATGTCTCTTTATGGTCTCTATGTCTCTCTCTCTGGTCTCTATGTCTCCAACAATACACAGTGCAGCCTTTCTATAAACCAGAAACGTCTTCGGGGCCAGGACAAAAATGTCGTTATAGAGAGGCAACCAAAAACATGACTACAGTATAGATCTAATTCGTTACTAACATTACTAACTAACTACAGTATAATCCGTTACTAACATTACTAACTAACTACAGTATAATCCGTTACTAACATTACTAACTAACTACAGTATAATCCGTTACTAACATTACTAACTAACTACAGTATAATCCGTTACTAACATTACTAACTAACTACAGTATAATCCGTTACTAACATTACTAACTAACTACAGTATAATCCGTTACTAACATTACTAACTAACTACAGTATAATCCGTTACTAACATTACTAACTAACTACAGTATAATCCGTTACTAACATTACTAACAACAGTATAATCCGTTACTAACATTACTAACAACAGTATAATCCGTTACTAACATTACTAACAACAGTATAATCCGTTACCAACATTACTAACTAACAACAGTAAAATCCGTTACTAACATTACTAACTAACAACAGTATAATCCGTTACTAACATTACTAACTAACAACAGCATAATCCGTTACTAACATTACTAACTAACAATAGTATAATTCGCTTTTTGGGAAGTAAACTTGATGTCGATAAATGATATAATATAAGGCCAAAGAAGAAAAAAACAAGGGGAGGTCAGCGGTAAAAAGACAACATTACTTTTATAAAGCTGGTTGCTTCCCTTGGTTCTTACACAACTGACAAGAGGTGGAGCTATGGTA